CCCCAAAACCCCAAAACCCCAAAACCCCAAAACCCCATTAGATTGGAATAATTTTCAAAAGAAATAATGAAGAAATTTGTTATAATAACTTTTATTAATTTTATTACAAAATGATAGAGAAATTTTAACATAGCAGTAACACATCATCTTCTAATAACCTAAAACCTTAACTAAACTAAAATCATCTCTAGCAATCCCTCAATCAAAACATTAAACCCCTCACCCATTCTCATTCCATTAGAAAATCTAGTTCTAATTTGCTAATAAGCAATAAATTCATGAAAAAACGAGTTGACTCAAATTAAAGTTTAAAAAACCATTATCAGCAAACATAAAATAGCATAGCTTAGATTTAGAATACACAAATGCTTTACAATAGCACCAATCCCTAGAATCAATAAGAATAAAATCATCTATGAAAATAATAAAGGAGACCTTAATTGCACAAATACCTTGGGCTAACTTCGTTGCCACTTTAAGTTAGAGAGAGGAATACTTTTTCTCCGATCTCATCTCATTTGCATTAGCAGTAATTAAGTATATAAACTCAAAACTCAAACTCTTAAGTTGTGTTAACTAGCGAAAGTAATCAAAACAACAATCAAAATGACAACTTCAACTCTAGAAAGTAAACACCAAATGTCTATTCAAAAGTGCTAGAAAATACTCAGCTGCATTAAGAGAGAATATAGAAATATGTTGTATCTAAGTAATCACTTTTCTATGTATAGCCCATGTCAACAGCAGCTCCGATTCAATAAACTTATCAAATGTTCATGCCTAATAAAATCAAAAAGGGAAGAGACTTCAAAATCAATCATGATCTTGCAAATAAAAAGGAGTCAAACTCATAGTCAGCAGTTTAGCTACAGTAAATGATCAAAAATATAATGCCTTAATCAGTCCAAAATGCTCAAAGACAAGTTTCACATTATCAGGATTAGAAATAATTCATATATCCAGATGAAATTTATACAGATCCAGATATCTTTCAAACTAAGGATGAAACTGACTAGTATGAAGATAGTCTCGGAGGTAGAGGCTTCTAAATCTAGTCTCTAAAAAACAAATAGCCTAGTTAGACCCTATCCTATTTTACTCCTTTGATTAAATAGTAAAGTTAATAATCTTTGAACAACGTGGTTGATTAAAACTCATATATATCAACGAATCCGATCAACTAATTCACCACAAATAGAAGCATAAACAGATTGTCTTTCTCAAATGAAAAGCGTAGAAGCTAAAATGATTCCATGAGCAGTAAAACAAAGAGGGATGAATTGTATATTGGCAAGAAGCAGGAGATGCCTATTCATCAAAGCAAATAACTTAGTAATGTTGAGTAACTTAAAATGGCACTGTCCCCCTTAGGCGATTAAAAGTAATAATCAAGTGATATGGTCTATCTGGGAGGATTTTTACTTAAGCCTCGTACTAAGCTTGCGACCTTTCAAGATCCTAAGAAAAAGCAATAAGGAGATCATGTTCCAAACCTAGAAGATGACAAATAGGACAAATTGATAAAGGTAAAAAGCTTAGATAAAATTGTAAAGCAACGTAAAAATAGACATTTAAGGACAATTGACGCCGAAAATGATCTAGACCTTGTTGCTTTTTCAAGCTTGAATGCAAAGGATAGGCTCAATTATATTAAAACAGTGAAATTCCTTAAGAACATAAATCAGGAAAGACCACCATCAAACCCTCCTGCCAATTTTGAGCACTCTGTCTAAGAATCTTCAATTAAAGGTTCACTTTCATCGCATAGATTTGCTGATCCAGCTTTAGATATTGATAGCCCTCAAACTCTTTATCCCGTACAGAAAATTCTAATTACCCACAAAGATAGTTCTGTAGATTCCATAGATTCTAATGACAACTCAAGTAAAAAGAAAAGGAAAAATAGAAAAGTACGACAATCCCCATTAAGAAGTAAAAAGCATCTATAGGCTGCTCCTCCTTTATTAATTTTAAACTGCGAAAAAATTCTCCCTAAATAAAAAACTTAGAGACATGAGCCTCCAAAACTAAACAATGACATAATGGATTAACTAGATTAAAATGATACTCCATCAAATGATAGTTCATTCCATATTCCTTAATGGAATGAGACTCCAATGCTTTCTGACAGAACAATATAAATAATGCAATAAATACACAAGTAAAAATATGGACCATCTAATCATAATAGATTAAATCACCTACAATATACCCCGATGAATTAGCCTAGCATTTAAATGCTTCCTTAATATAGTCAAGGATCTGCCAGTAATAACATCAATGCCTATGTACATACAAATGAAGAATTTACCAGAAGGAAAAAGTCCAAAAAGAAGGAAAAAGACAATCAGCCAAAGATGGAATTAGAAAAATTGACTCCTTGGTGATAAGATCAGTTTAGATCATCGCCTTTTAATTTGATTTGTTCATTTTTAATTGTCTATTAGAAACTTAATTTTCCCATTAGGGGTTTTGGGGTTTTGGGGTTTTGGGG